GTATAGTCTTTTCAACAAAAGGTGCCGGAGGTAGAAAACTTCTCCATCGACAAGCTGAGGCATCATCAGACTCACCTCATCTGCGCCTCTTCTCTTAGCTATCACTGCCGTCATTGCTTGATGTCCAATGTCCCGAATACCGTTGTTTCCTACATCTGTCCAGTGTTCGATTTGGGATGGTAAATCTGGTTACTATTATGCCATCTTGTCCAGAAGAAGTCCCTGCCCTATTGCAATGGCTTCTCAGTTGACCCCCACCCCCACTTTCATTGGTCTAATAAGTTTTAGATTTAATTGGAAATGTGAATCATGTTTTATTTCTAAAAAGCTCCATTGAATTATTTTTCAAATCTGCTTGATAACGTTTATAGTCTCTTGCCACTTTACTCTTACTTTCAATCTCTTTTTTTACAAAACACACTTAATATTTTGCATCTGATAACGCCAACACATGAAGTTTTGGCACATTCGACTCCGTTTTATGTATTAGCTCTTACGGTAACTCGTTTCCTTGTTTGTGCTGAAATTTTTGACTGTGAGTTGATATTTTTGGAACTTTGAGACTTGGCTTGACGGTGGATTTCTTCAGTAAATATTTGTTTTGCTTCTGCTAGGTGCCTGGGGGCGCCCGCTGGACACCACATTAAATGAAATTCTTGGCTTTTGGGTTTTTTCTGGGTACCCGTGTAGTGTGAATTCAGGTTGCAAACCCATGAGAAGGCTGTCTTAGTGTTATGACATTAACAGGAGAGACATTTTCTTCCTCACTCAGTGATAAAATTTGAGTTGGGAGTTAATTGTTTTTTTTTTTTTTTTAATGTCCCCTGGGCAGGTGGTGGGGGTGGGGTGTATTTATTTCTGATTTTCCCATATCCTGAGGTAGGACCTTCTGAGGTCTGAGTTTTACGCAGATATGGAGGTCGCATCTTCCATTTGACTCTCAACGAGATACATTCTGGACTTTGAGTCCTGCACCCTGCAGCCCACCGGAGCATGAACATGGAAGGTCGAGATCCTCTGGTTTAGCAAAGGCCTTCAAAGTGAAAGCATTCTTACCTTGCCAGGTTTCAGTTTTCACTTGGTTCTTGACTTTTAATTGTTTCTTACCGTTTAATTAGACCATCCATGCATTCACATGTAAGTTTTAAAAATGTTTATATTTTAATCTGCATCTGTAATTGTTTTCAGTGTGAGTATGGAGGTAATCAGAGAATTTAGTTCAATGTACCGTTGGAAATGGAATTCTTGTTTTTCAACCTGTGTATGATTCTTTTGTTATTAAGAAGACATATTATATATCTGTATATTTTGGTGTAGTCCAATGGAGCTGTTTTCCTTTATAATTAGTGCTTTTCGGCCTTTTCTGAGAAATCTTTCCTTACTCTCAATCTCCCTATGACATAAATATACACATGTATTCTCTTATGTTTTCTTCTTATATGAGTATATATTCATATATATAGAAGGATTCATTTTTACTTTTTGTTTATATAGACAACAATGGATCATGGATAATGTACAGATTTTGACCTGTTTTAGTATGCCCTCATGAGCTAGGCATGGAGTGTGTGTGTGTGTGTGTGTGTGTGTGTGTGTGTTTGCCTTTTTTTTTTTTTTTTAGAGACAGGGTCTTGCTATGTTGCCCAGGCTGGAGTGCAGTGGCTATTCACAGATGTGATCATAGTGCCCTGCAGCCTCCAACTCCTGGGCTCAAGTGATCCTCCTGCCTTGGCTTCCCAAGCAACTGGGACTACAAGCATGTGCCACCGTGGCTGGCTTGGTTTTTATATTTTTTAACAGGTTATATGTGTATATATATAACGGAAGAAGAAGAAGAAGAAGATGTGACAGAGATTATATGTGGCCTGCAAAGTCTAAAATTTTGTTGTCTGGGTCTTTATGCAAAAAGCTGACAGACCCTTGTATTAATCTACTTTCCCCCAGTTATTTGCCATATTTTAGCCTCCCATTTATACCTGAAGTTTATTTCAGGGCCTTTCATTCTGTTTCATTCATCTCTTTATTTTTTTGCCAACTCCAAATACCACACTGTAATGAAAATGGCTGTTTTCATTAACAAAACTACACGAATTAAAGGAGAAGGATTAGGAAATGCAGGATCCATTTTCAGAGGGGAAATGGAAAAATAGAGAAAATTTGTACTCAGAAGCCTAATTGCCCTGACGTTAACTAGAGGCACAGAGACTCAGAGTGCTGATAAAATACATCTCTGCCTTGCCCAAAGCAAGCGCTGGACCATGGAATTGGATTTTACTGATTAATTTGTAACTGTGTACAGAGCCGTATGAAGCATGAAACACTCAGAAACTTGTTCCAGGAAGCTTCCAACAAACGGAACAATGAATTGTGAAGCCCCCAGTGGATGGAGATTGGAGGATGTCGGGGAGAGGGGCACTCTGTAAACCCTGAAATATACATTCGCCATTGAAGGGGGAGCAGAGAAGAAAGGGCCTGGGCCCCGAGAAGGCAGTCGTATTAGCAGACAGCTGTTTTCCTTCGGGAGCCGATGTTTATCTGTCCGAGCTGTGTGTCTGCTCACTTTAGTCACGACACAATTTACTTATTCAATGAGATGGCACTCTCGGTTAGTGAGAGCACCTCTTTGAATGAGGCAGAGACACAGACCTACAGACGTGGCCCTGAGTTCACGTGGCCTTGGCTACACGTGACCTCTGCTACACATGGCTGAGACCTTTGTCACGTCGGCCCCAGCACAGGAGCTGGGACTGCAGTCCCAGGTCTTGCTTGGAGGGATGTGGAGGCTCCGCGTCCCGCAGCTTGACTGCACAGCTTTTTGCTCTGTTCTTTCCTCTGGGGTCAAGAGACAGTGAGGGGAGCAGTCTGCCGGATCCCGTAGTCCCTCCCCAGCATGAGTGTGTGTGAGGCAGGCTGTGCAAACCTGGAAGGCCCTCTCCTTGGCGCTGTCTGCCCTCCCACATGCTGGCTGAAAACAGGGCAGTGCAGGCATAAGTGCGTCCCCCTCGCAGCCGGTGCACAGATGTGCTGCTGGTGAAGGGCTCTGGACAGGGCCCCACAGTATCTGCCAACCTCGAGGGGCCCTGTGTGACGGGTGACAGGAACAGGCTTTCAGAGTCTGCCTACCCCAGCTGCTGTGTTTCCAGGATGCTGCTACTCTAGGGGGGCTTCATGCAGAACATCTCAGGGACCCAGGAGGGAAAGAAACAACCCTGCCCATGACGAAGCACAGTATTGCTTTGCAGACATTGCCATGGTCCACCTGGGCTCTTCCCAAGGGTGAAAGTGTTCAAATGCCACTTCAATGGGCTCTGAATTCAGGGGCTGGGGTCTCCCAGGTATTTGATTGAGCAGAGTCCCTTGCTTTTCCGTTTTCCAAAAGCGGAGCCTCCCTGCGGTTCACAGTGTGCCGATCTTAACACCTGCAAGTGTGTGGCAGTCACCCACTGACTTGGGGGCAAAGGTGATCTGCAGCATGTAGAAGAATGATTCTCTTTTTCTGCCCCGCCTCCCTTCCTCCTCTTGCCTCTGCACTTTGAAACCACTCTCCACCCGGGCCCAGCGGGAGTCCTGACTAGTTCAGGGGGTTGTGATTAGGAAACAGCAGCCTGTCGCTCCCCACCCTGGCTCAGACAGCTCTTTCAGGAACCTGTGGTCTTGACAAGCAGGGAAGATTGCTTCAAAGAGCCAGCCAGGCCCCCCGGGGAGTGACAGCTCCTGCCTCAGGCATGGGAGGCTACAGTGCCTGGCTGAGGGGAGCTGCTCCCAAACACAAAGGCCAGGAAAGATGAACAAAAAGTCACTTTCTCATTGTTGCTGTCAGGAACAACCAGCGCCCAAGAGGATACTGCATTCTGCGGATCTTATTTAAAATTCTGCAAGCAGCCCTAGTGATTAGGGGACTGCGGCTGGATCTTGGCGGCAGCTCAGACAAATGAGAAAGGAAAATGGCCAAGCTGGTCGCCTCATCTTCCTCCCTTGCTGGTTCTGAGGAGCATCTTGCAGGAGAATTATTGTAAACTGAGCTTCTTAGAGGGAGGGGATTACCTGTGGCTCAAATAGGCAGATAGAAGCAGTGCAAAGATCTTTTAAAAGGGCTTAAGGCATTTTGCAGGGCTTTTCATTTCAGTTCTTTCCCCTGCATAATGGGGGTGCTAGACTAGATCCACGGTCTGGTTTTGGTTGCATATTCCTATCAGTAAAAATGTTGGGCCTGCACTCTTACACCTGTATATTTGTTCATTTACCAATTACGCACATGTTAGACTCTACTAATGCACTGCGCACTTTGCGAAGGACGTGTAACAACAGAAATAAGGAAGTCTAGATGAAAATACATACAAGCAGAAGCTCTAGTATTTTTATTTTCTACCTCTGTCATGCCTTCCCTCTAGGAAGTGAATACTTCAGTTGGAAAACAACGAGAGCAGATGACCCAGTAGGGCTTCTCCGGATGGAAAGCTGGCAAAGAACACTGTCCAATGTGGTGATCACTAGCCCCATGTGGCTATTAAATTCATTAAAATGAAATAAAATTTAAAACTCGGTTTCTAAACACACCAGCTGCATTTCAAATGCTCAATAGCCACATGGGGTTAGTGGCTACTGTATAGGTCAATGCAAATTGTAGAACATTTCCATCATCGCAGAAAGCTCTGTTGGACAATCTGTTTAGCAAGTAGTCAAGACCATATAATTCAATATTTAATTGCAATGAACCTTTACTAACTAAGCACCTGCTATGTGCTCAACATCATGAGAAGCATTTATAAGCATGGTCTTGTTTTGTCCCTCCAGCCACCCCCGAGTGAGGTGCTATTATTATTGCCACATCATGGGGGTGGGGGGCGTGAGGGTTGGAGGATCAGGAGTTGCTCAGAGCTGACCAGCTAGTTAGAGGTCCAGCCCTGTGTTCTACCAGGCACCCCACAGGGACTTTTCAGATTTTTCTGGGCATGTGCTCTTGAGGGTGGTTACTGCATGTGTGCTTCTCTGTCCCACAGGTACAAAGGGAATTTCTTGCAGAGCCGTGTTCAGCTGAGAGCCGGCAGACTACGCAAGCCAACGTGGGTGCCGAGAAGAAGCTGCCCCCCTCCCCCACTTGAGGGGCAGGCCTCTTCAGCAATGGCAGGTAATGCTCTCCTTGGAGGTGAAGGCACCAGGCTGTAGGGTGAGCAGGCGCCAGCCCAAAGTCTACCAGGGGTCAGATGCATGAGGGATAATGACGAAGACGTGACATCTGAGATACAATCAAAGTGACCCTAAACTAGCGGGGAGGGCATAGGGTGAGAAGATCAAGAATTCAACCTTTAGAAGTCAACAGACATCCTTGTGTACTGGCCACGTGTGCCAACCCTGTCCTGGGTGCAGATTCCCTCCAGGACCTGGGAAAACATGAATAAGAATCCCTGGTGCCTCCACCTTGACCCGTCTCTAAAGAGGAAGTTCGCTTGGTTCCTTCGCAGGGTCATTGTGAGGCTAAAAGGGGTCAGGGGACGGAGAGCCAGTGTGGAATGGAAGCATGGCAGGCATGCGCCGCAGCAGGGGACACAGCTTCCCTGGGAAGCAGTAAGAGGCGTACTCTTTGCCATGCTCGGAAATAAATAAAGGATGAACTCATGGGGGCTCCTTCCTGGGAAAATGGCTATTTTAAGCTGCGATCACTGGGAAACCAGGGTGAATTGCCAACCTTCTCTGGACCTCAGTTTCCCCTGCCTTTCTCCCCCTCCCCGGCCCTAGCCTTGCTTGCAGAGCGTTGGCTGGGGAAAATGGAGCCCTCGGTGAGAGGCTGCAGGGCCCCATCTGGCCAGCGGGGACTGAATTACCATCCTTTTGTGGATGATTGTTGGCTGTTTGGCTCAAGGGCTGACCTTGGGCTCTGTCTGATGCTTGAGGTCTTTGGTCCAGGGACATGTGCTGGGCACTGCCCCCTCCAGCTGTGTGTGGCTGCAGTACCCCCTGCAGCTCCCCTCACCCCCTCCACACCCCCCAGAGCGCTCTAGGTTAGGCGGCAGAAAGGCCTGTGGCTTCTCATTGTTCTTTGTACCCTTTCTTCTCTTTCAAAGCTTCTCTCAGCCTCAGGGGAGGGTCCTGCACCCACACTGTGGACTAGTGGAGGAGCCCTGGAGACCCCAAGGCTTCCTCCATGTAGGAGAAATCCCACTCGTAGATGTGGAGTCTTATCTCCACATCAGCATTTCATAGCTTTTTTCACACCCAAATCCCAAAACTGGGGGCATCAATGGAGGGTCGGTGAAACCAGATGCAAAAGGAAAAAAAAACAGCAACAAAACCTGAATATAGAGCTAAGAATCAAGAGGCCATCCATAGTTGGAATTCTTGCAGGGAACATAGCTCCCCCCACGTAGGTAATGATGCCCAGCAAGAGCCTGCAGTGGTGACAGATGTCTGTGCTTTCATGTTTATTATTTGAGCAGCAAGTTGGGCCAGAGGCCTGGGTCCCTGGGGCCCATTTTCAGAGGCCTCCCTCTCCAGCAATTAGGGGGACCATGGAGGGTGTCCACCGCAGGGCAGGTGTGAGTCTGCAGGATGCGGGAGAGGCACTGGCCCAGGGAATATCAATCACTGCCTGTTGCTTATTGAAGTGTCAGAGAGGGAACAGGGAAGGGTGGTGGGGCAGACGACCAAGCTGGGCTTGACAGGTCATGATGGACACCATCCAGGCGGAGGGTGGGAGAGCGCATTGAAATAAATACCACCTGGAAATCAAAGGGGTATGGGATTTTATCACCACACTGGCCAATATCAATATTTCACCGTGCAGTGACAACACTCTGAGGGCATTGGGTGTTTGAAGACAAAGTGCTGTGACTTCAAAGGAACCTACAGCAGAGCTTGGCCATCCACCATTTACAAACTACTTTTTTGAGTCTCCTTTGACCTGGAAGGTCCTGGGCAGAGAGATCAGAGCTGGGTCCTCAGAGAGCTGCCCTTGTCTCTGTGTGTGCACATGAGTATGAGTGTGCCTGTGTGTGTGTACACATGAGTGTGCCTATGTGTGTGCATGCACATGAGTGTGCCTGTGTGTGTGTACACATGAGTGTGCCTATGTGTGTGCATGCACATGAGTGTGCCTGTGTGTGTGCACATGAGTAAGTGTGCCTGTGTGTGTTCACATGAGTATGAGTGTGCCTGTGTGTGTGCACATGAATATGAGTGTGCCTGTATGTATATACCTGAGTATGAGTGTGCCTGTGTGTGTGCACATGAGTATGAGTGTGCCTGTGTGTGTGTGCACGAGTATCAGTGTGTCTGTGTGTGTGTGCACGAGTATGAGTGTGCCTGTGTGTGTGGGCATGAGTATGAGTGTGCCTGCGTATTTATATTTTGGGGGAGGGCTGTTTTCCTGGCAAGACAACGAGGAGGTGACCTGCTGTTTTGAGTCACCTGAGGGGCTGTACTTTGAGGGAACTTGCTGGAATCCAACAAGGAAATTGAGAATGACCTTTGTGTGTGTGTGGTGAGGGGGATTTCTCAATGTAAAGGTAGGGAAAACCTTAGGTCCTAATCCTTGTCAGCCAACTAGAATTAGTAAAACATTTAAACATAAGTAGTTGAGAGTACTTATTTGTCCAGGAGCTGAAATAAGATGTTATAATTGATTTTTTGTCTTTATTTTTTAGAGATATTTCCTGTCAATTACATAGGGGGATGAGAGAGAAAGGATGTTTTTTAAAAACAATTTTTTAAAAAAATGTTTAATTTCCCTCTCTTGTAAACTATTCCAATAGCTCGGTACTAATCATTCGAATTAACAGATGGCTTAGCAGTGAAGTCATCTGCAAACAGAAGGCCAGAGGAGTTATGAAGGATAAAGACCTAATTTATAAGATTTTACATTGATTGGAATCTGTGAGACTCTCCTGACAACTGAGTCTTTTTTTCTGAAACCTAAATCCAGTAGTCCCTCCCACTGAAGTTTCTGGCTAGGGCAAGGGGGAAACTATAAGTTTCTATTTAGATGCTAAATGGGGCCGATGTACCAGGCACCCTAGGCTAGACATGACTAGGCTAGTGTCGCTCTTTCCAAGAACATCCTCCTTCATCCACACTCACTTTAGGGTCAGGGCTGAAGGGTGGTTACGTGAATTGAGCTTCCTAGACTCGAGCTGCCTCATCAAAGGGATTGGTAAAAAGAGAGTTTTTAGATACCAAGTCATGGACTATCCCACAGAAAGCAAGCATCTACTTATAATCCAAATGTTCTTTCTGGGACAGTCTAGTCCTAACGTTGGCTTGTTGGTGGAAGCATGAGAACCTTCCCTAAAAAACTGACTGCCGATGAATTTAGACCCTGCAACTCTCTCTGTCTCTCAGCTTACCGTAGCATTCACCCATGCCATTCAGGTTAATTTTCACAACACAATGTAAATTGATTGCCAGGTGAAATCATGCTCAAGATGTTGCATTTCCTGAAGTTGATGAAAATGACCATTGGAGACCTGCTTTGTTCACTTCCATGGGCAGAGTCAGACGAGGTGATGGATGAACAAGAGAAACTGACAAGGATGATAACTGAGTGACTTGAGTATCAAAGGCTTAAGAGAAACCTTTGGAAACATGGATAAATCGCTATAATCTTTCTTAGGGGGAAAATGCCCCTTGGTGATCTTGCTATGAAAGTAAATGCAAAATGAAGAATGCCTGCTGATCTGCTCTTCAATTTTGGGTAAAAATGTTTTGTCTTCATCAATACTTGATTAACTTCTATTGATTTTAACAGTTAGCTCATGGTTTGCCACTCTAACCTCCAAACTGAAGATTCATCTTTATCTCTATAGGCTTATCAGCTTATTTTCACAACTTTTTTTTTTCATCATTTTTCAAGATACATTCTCAAAGTCCTTAATTCTCTACTATTTACTGTGAAATTTTGGTCCCCATTGTGAATGAATTCATCTTAGGTGGGCTTTCCTCAGCAGCAATGGTCTCAGTTAATTAAGACCCTGTTTACCAAGCTGACAGGTCTTCCTCTATCTTTGCATCCAGGTGCCTAGCATACATTTCTTCACCTTGAGCTTTCTTGAAGCTCAGTCTCAGCCAAAAGGGCAGTCAAAAGCCAGCTTCCAGATCCTCTTTGACAATGAACAAGGAAGAGTGTGCAACCTGGAGGTTTGGTTTCTGATTGTACTTTCAAGTTGTGTCAATAGCGGGAGACTCCAGTGGGTGTCCAGTTTGGATGGCAGTGGACTGTAACCAGCACAATTCAGTTTTATGGAATTGCCATCTTCAATGCTTAAGGATCATCCAATGTCACCTCAGTACAGATGAAAGCCCTGGGGAGAGAAAGGTCGTAACTGTGAACCTGAGGATGCCACTTCAGTGTCTTTTAACCTGAAGTCCGCTCCCACACTACAATCAGACAGTGTGTTAAAGGTGAGGCTCATTACCAAAGCCAGCACCTAAGGCAGAATTGCCCGTAGTCAAAATTATCTTTGAAAATTCTGCAAATCCATCATAAGGGTACGATTTGTGTATACAACTCCGAACAGAAATTCTCACGCACAATATGTTTGAAGACTGCTGAGATGAAAGAAGGAAAGAAAAAAGACCATCCATCCATGCAGGCTGCTTTGCAGATAAACAGCAAATCCTCCCACTGAAGAGGGGTGTGAGGATCCTCAAGTGTCCCCACTTCGCAGTGTGGAGTGTGCCGTGCTGTTTAGCATTAAGCCTTTAGAACTGCTATGACATCTTAATGGATCTGTTTGTTGAGGTGGGGATTAAACGAGATCATGGAGCTGTGTCTTCCTAGGTCAGGGGAGGGTGAGCTTCAAGCATCAGGGTGCAGGTTAGATACCCATGTGATGGGACTCCGTTGAGTTCTCATCTCACCTGGAACCACCTAAGTCTTTCTCATACCAGCTCAGGAATGGGGACATTTTATGCTGGACAGTTACTCCATGCCAGCTTGAGCCAGCTGGTGCCAGTCAGCCAAAGATGATCACTTCCAGCTCGAGGGGAAGTTCGCCAGCAAATTTTGTCACGAAGATGCTCTTTCTACTGTTTGTTGTCAAGTTAGGGTCTCACTTAAGACGAGAAGCTTTGCATGTATGTGTGCGTGCGTAGACTGACGAGCGTGTGCACTCTAACACTCTTGTGTTGTTTTTC